GGCTCCGTCCTGACTCGCCCTTCATGACGACGGCCCGATAATCGCAAGGCAGGACAGTCCATGGAGGCCGACTACGTACATCTGGAAGGTGAATCAACGTGAGAGCAGGCATCGACTGGAGGCTCGCGAGACGGGAGCCCTCACGTATTCTTCGGCTGCCGCAAGTTCATGAAGGACAACAACCCGACAACTTACGGATATTCGTTGTGCGAACTTTCTGGGATGGATGCCGTGTTGACTCCGACTTCGCCTCGTGGCACGGCCGGCCAGTGATATCTTCTGTTTCCCACACTGGACCGCATCGTGGAGGCCCTCTACGAAAGGCGGAGTCAAACATGCAAGGTCGTGACGCAGGTGATCGCAGATATCGGACACCTTTGGCATATGAACCACCCATCAATATGTGAGTTGAAGAAGTTTCACCGAGTTTTGACTGAACAGTACGAGCTTCTCAGAGAAATTGATGAGGAGATTGAAAGCACAGTTGACATCGATCATTTGGAATCGGAAATGGAAGAAGCCGAAGTTTATGAACGCCAGGTTATTCTAGCTGTAGAGAGGAAGAAGATTATGTAGCTGTAGAGAAGAAGAAGAGAGGAAGCCACCTTGCCCATAGTGAAGCCCACCCGATCGACCTCTTCTTTATTCCAAACCCCGGTCTAATTCCCTAATGATGATAGTGACTATCTTCGCCGTTCACACAATATTTAACAGGAACAATGAGGGGAGGAGGGTGCCTCCTACTCATCTGAGAAGGGGAGTGGGCGCAAAGCCTGCCCCATACGCTGACTTTCTGAATCAGCGTATGGGGCAGATTTCGTGTCCCCAAGGGCGGGTGTGGGGGTGGGACAGTGATGAACCTTCGCCCCTGCTTCCTTTCAACGATATCTTGAACACGCCTATGACACCCCTTACAGCCGCTATTTCTTCCTCGTCGCCTATTTCTTAATAAATCAAGTGGACAATGTCAGCACTAAGAGCTCGGTTTCCTATACACTCGCCTCCGAGCTGTAATTTAAATTGCCTTCGGATCTAGTGATCCCACAAGGTTTAGCTTTCTTTGTAGCTTTCTTTGTATACATACCACGGAAAAAACAATTCGGCATTTAAGCTCAGTAATTGTCAGCGCCACCGGCCACAGTTCAAGAGTTATGGTCACTTCAATCAGCGATAAAATTGAGTTCTAAACATGCAGTGCAAGCCGGTGCGATAAGCAAGTGAAGAGCGTCCTTTTTATTGTTATCTTTGTTATCTCATCCGATAGCCAGAATCCCGTTACTGGGACGAATATTATACGAGGGCAATGTCCCGTCAAGGAGCTGCAAGTTCTTGATCAACTCGCCTGCGCGTACATTAAAGTATTTGCAGCCCGCATAGAACTTTGCAACCTGAATGATGGGCTCGAAGTATGATACTGAACAAGAGATAAACCTGCATATGGGTAGTGAAGAAATTCTTATAAGACTTCTTAAAAAAACAAAGATTAAAATACACTCAAGCGAATTGAAGCCTCCTTCATACTAATAAACTGCCCATGCGGTCAAACAACAAATAAAAGCTAGTCATTCATGAGGAAAATCAGATAATTCATTTCTGTCACTCTACACGTAGAAAATCTGTAGCACCTTCTAACTTATAAAACAAGGAATTTAAAAAAAAGCGTAGTTGTTTTCTGCTTCTTTCCTCTTTTATTTCATTATTTCTCTCTACTGCTTCCTGCGTGTCTGTTTTGTTTTTAATATAGTGTATTTTCATTTTATGAGGAAGCGTTTTATTCGAGACGAGCTCGAGCTGCAGCACACCATGATGATGATATCTACAGACGAGGAAGTTATACAAATGATTATGACAAGACGAGCCAGTGACTGCGCTCACACTATTTTTTCTATGTCTGGGTCTTTCCACCTTTCTTTCGAAAACTGAAATCTTGGCTACTTTGTGAGATTTGCACACTTGAGCATGTAGTTCAAAAAAAAAACAGGGACAGGTGGTGAGCGATAGCTCCATACCAAAAGTTATTCTCGAGATGCAGGCCAATTTATCACTAAAAAAGACCAGAAGGCCATACAAGCGCCCAAGGACCCCAGCCTGCTCCCACGACGATCATAGACAACAAACCGCCACAATATCTTAATGAGCCCCTGAAAAAAAACCACACAAGCAAATAGCAACGCAATTAAAAATGTTAAAAACCGAAATCTTGCACTCACCTAACGGGTGCTCAGATTAGAGCTTTCATTTCGAGGAAAGCGAGGGTGCCAGATTAGTTGCTGGGAAAGCTAACTCGCAGGCGTGAGCACTCAAGAAAGGCTGGCTGACGCACTCGAGACCATTATATTGAATTAAAAACTCTTCCGGAATACACAAGGTGTTCACAAAGGACATAAAAGTTTCTTTTATTGAAAGAAGGGTTTCGTCTATATTAGCCAATCATCCCTCCCGACCCTTCACCACTGTGAGTAGCTTTTCTTGAAGCAACCCGCCATTATATCTTTTATTTTTTGTGTGATAAAGGCTCCTGTTTGCGGAGGCGTTACGCGACTGCGAGGTTTTCAGCGTTTAGTGTTTTCAACTGTGTCACAATTGGCTGATCGTTTTTATAGGGGTCGAGTAAGATGTTGCGGTGTGTTTTTATCCATTATCGTTGTGGGAGTGGGATAATGGTTTCTTGGGTGATTGTGGCGTTTTCTAATATTTTCTGCGTGATAAGAATAAACTTTAATTTCAAGCTAATGCTCTTCTATCGGGCCTCAGTTTTTTTTGCAATTGTGTCTGCTTTTTGCGCTGCTGGCTCGAATATTTATTCCGTTCTTTCTTTCTTTCTGGTTCTCTGACTGTCCATTTCTTTCTTTCCTTCATTTTCTTTCAGCCTTTCATTTTTTTGTTTCTCTTCCTTTCTCTTCTCTTCTCTGTCCTAGCTCTTTCTTCTCTTTAGCCTCTTCATTTCTCTCATGTCGGTTTTTCTTACCATTACCCTCTTTGCCACCCATGCCTACACTGCCGAGTGTTCAAAATAGGCTTTATGATTTTCCCAAGATTATTACTGAGAACAACATAAAACCACCTTTGTAGATAAGGGGAAACACAAAGTGAGACAATAATGGTGGCTACAGTGGTGTAATTAACTAAAAGTCAATAATTAACCATTTCAATGACTGCTGTAAGAGGGCATATTTGTATTTAAAAGTTAGAGCCCATCGCGTTTCTACGCAGTTACACTTGGAAGAAATCTTCCTAGCATGTCTGGTGTTTCGAGATATACCGCGGATTGGTCCATTAATTGTGCTTTGCATGAATACGCATGCAGGGCAGTGAAGATCGGCGCAATGCTCGTCTACTATGTGACAAAGAGCCACAGCTTGCTGTCACCAGCTGGCAGTGAAAGGGTAACCTTTATCATCTTTGCCTCTGCTTTCGACCCATTTTCAGATTAAACAACGCACGCAACTGGCACGGCCCATACAGGGAGGAGCTTTCGTTCCAGTGCTGATTTACATGCACATCATGCTATGGCACAATGAAATTTGCCGTGGGATATCTCGGAGCCCAATGCATGCTAGAAGTATTGTTCCAAGTGTAACTGCGTAGAAGTGCGACTGTCTCCAATTTTTAATACAGATATGTTCGCTTATTGCCGTCACTGAAAAAGTAATTATCAGTTCTTCGTTAATTCGGTTACTGGCAGTCATATTTATTCGCTAACATTGTGTCCCCCTGGATACATAAAGTGTCTGAGAGACGGTTTTTTCATCTTTTTTTAGTGCTCAATTTTAGGAAAACCATAAAGCTTATTTTTGAACAACTGGTATTATACAATACATCTATACTATAATATATTTTATTATAATAATTTATTATGCAATAGAATATACATGATTGTGATATGCTATCCTAACGTGCTTCAATAGCTATGTGGCACTCGCCTTTGGATAGTGGTTGTCCGGGCTCGAATCTCGCCACACAGAGGAATCTATTTCCCTAAATTCTCTCTTTATCTACGTTTACTTCTTTTTCTCTCTCCTTCACTCAATCTGTATTAGTTGTCCAACCATCAGAGTTACTACGTCCCGAGTCAGAAAGTCGGCTGCCCGTGCTCTGGGAGCAAAGAAGAAAATGAAGGAGACAAAGAGAGTACGTTCCAGTTCAGGATGATGACATCTTTTGTCCGGACCGGCCAGATCACGCTCAGATCAAATGGCTGCTTTGTTAAAAATAACTAAGAAGTCGCGTGAACTTGCGGTTGCAGTGGCTCGACCCGTACAGGTTGAGAATGCCCACGTCTGCGTAGTACTCCGGTCTGCTCGCTCGGTAGGTCCTTGAACGTCGTGGCACCCATCTGAACGGCTCCTTCCCTTCCTCGTGGTACAGGGTTCGAATGTCTGTGCCCCTTGAACAGGTGCACTAGGGAATAACGCCCTGGAAGCCTCTCGACCACAATGGGGCCATACTTCTTGTACATCTCCATGGATGCCTTGTGCCTCTGGTCGGGATGGTGCTTACCTAAGAAGAGTTTAGTTCATGTTGACGTTCACACCATAGTTTCCAGAATGATATCTACATAGGCAGACTTTAGACTAGAGCAAGCATAGATAGATAGATAGATAGATAGATAGATAGATAGATAGATAGATAGATAGATAGATAGATAGATAGATAGATGATAGATAGATAGATAGAGAGATAGATAGATAGATAGATAGATAGATAGATAGATAGATAGAGAGATAGATAGATAGAGATAGATAGATAGATAGATAGATAGATAGATAGATAGATAGATAGATAGATAGATAGATAGAAGATAGATAGATAGACAGACAGACAGACAGACAGACAGACAGACAGACAGACAGACAGACAGACAGACAGATAGATAGATAGATAGATAGATAGATAGATAGATAGATAGATAGATAGATAGATAGATAGATAGATAGATAGATAGATAGATAGATAGATAGATAGATAGATAGATAGAGATAGATAGATAGATAGATGATAGATAGAATAGATAGATGTAGATAGATAGATAGATAGATAGATAAACGCTGAAAGTGTGTTTGGTGCACTAAGCAATGCGAGTCGCGTCTTACACTCGGTTTTTATCAAGGTGGATTATCAATCATAGAGCCGTAATATGGGCTTATTTTGTTAAATCATTAGACGCACCTAAGTCGCGCTGCATGTGTGTCTTCTCTTGTCGGTGTGTCGAGTGCCCGCTCTAATCAGTTTCTCATAACTATTCATTCGGATCGTCTCCAGGGTGATTTCCCACCATAAGATCACGGCGACACTGAGTTGCTTAGCAGAGATCGCAAACACATTCACTTATTAACTGGTGCGTGATACCATACTACACTCTTAAGCTATCGAGCATGACTTGCAATAAACTTACCCAACAGGCGCCAGTAGATCCACGAGCTGCCGATCACAGGGAAAGAAGGTACCCTGGGAATCGCTTCGAAGGGCTTCGCTTGCAGCTCATGTTTCCCTGCCGAAACGCTGTCACCTACGTTAGTTGAAGTTCGCCGCACGCTCAGTACGGCAGCTGCGACGGGAAATAGCTGCCAATGTATTTTCGACGCCAGCCTCAAGCCTCTGAGACCAAACGCATGACGTCCTTCCATTCTTTAACGTAACTGCAGGAGCACTTACGTAGGAGAATGCGCGGCAAAGTCGCGCGAAGCAATGTTGACGCTGAACTCCACGTGAATATGAAGAGGCACTATCGTAGCCATGACTCCTGAGTAAACGAGACGACTAAGCTGATAATATTGCTCATACCTTTGCACTATGTAATCAGCCAGTCACCGGCCTGAGGTGGCTCTTTATCGCTCCCAGTCACTGACACGTGCGTATCCGTTATGAACTTGCGCCCTTTCCCTATTTCGCTTGCGAACGATGATCACATAGTTCCACGATAATAGCGTTTCACGACCGAGCGATGGAGTGATGGTTATGATGTACCTCTCATAACTTTGACACTTCACCGCAAAGGGGATCTGTTGTAGGCCCATGTGCTCAGATTTGGGTGCACGTTAAAGAACCCCAGGTGGTCGAAATTTCCGGAGCCCTCCACTACGGCGTCTCTCATAATCATATGGTGGTTTTGGGGCGTGTAACACCCAATTATCGATCAAATCAAAGGGGGATCGGCCAAGAAATGGGTGGCAGAATCTTTAAATTAGTGGGTTGTGTATCAAAAGTATCCAATGGAAATTAAGTTTATATTTTCTGCGTGGACGCAAAAATTATAAACTGCGAAATTATAGGTGATAAATTTTGGCGTGGCGCGAGCGGCCATCAGGATTGACCTGGCCCGCAGGGCCTCAATAAAATCATTTCATTCAATCAATCTCTACCCTTCTCCGCCATAGGGAGGCGAAGGCACAGCCCGTCGTCGTGACTCCGCCAACTTAGGCAACGTGATACGACGTAAGTGATACGTCATCGAGATGCAGCCAACGACTGAGCAACGATTCTTCCGCATGACGTCTTCCTACCTCATGGGCTTTCGTTCTGGCCATACCGCCTCTCCCAGTAGTCTTTAGCTTTACCAAATGGCAGAGGGCACCACAGGAAAATAAAATATGAACTGTGCGGCCAAAACTGCATCAGCGAAGAGCCAAGGCGCGTTTCCTAAGGCAAAGTACCAGTCGACGAAGTCAGTGATGCGTCAGGTTGCCCATAAGCAAGTCTGCGTCACTGCGTGTAACAGGAAGATTGGTCTGGTTAAAAAAATTTGGCAAGGGAATCGTTTTTCGAAAGGAGAGTCTGTGAGGTGCGCAGCTCGGTAATGTTCGGAACATGTGATTGCCGCAATCTAGTGTAGGAGTCGGCAAACTTGTTTGGGAGGCGTATAAGAAAAGTCGCAGCCTGTTTACTTCCCTTTTAGGCTTCGCTTTTCAATGTTGAACGTCTTAGTGATATCCTATCCCTAATGCGTATTTACCCCAAGGGGCCCTGCAACACTTTTTGAGCATAGTCAAAAAAGGGTGCCGATTGGTAGTAGAGGCTCTCGACAACACGAGAGCCAAATGTTATATAGCGCAGCACGTGACCTGGAATTCAAAATAAATTATCAAAGTGGGTTAAAAACTGCTTTTCGCGTCTCTCGACAAATGAAGGAAGACGCTCATAAATCACTCGTAGAAATCTTATCTATCAGCCATTGGCTAATTTGAACTTTGCGCACTCGCTCCTTACAAATATCTCCGCGGGAGGCCGCTACTTGTCCACGCGTGCGTGCGCGATCACCCTGAGAAAGTTGCGCATTCGAAAAAAAAAGAAAAAGTGCTCAAGAGCACGAGGCGCGGGTGATTTTTTTTTGGCCCTGCCGTCTTTATTTGTTAGCTTCCAGCACTTTGCCAGGGCGAGAGAAGAGATAATGCAACTGCAGCACGCGACAAAATCTTTGTAACTGCACTCGCACAGGACAGAATATTAAATTTTTTTTCCCGGCAATGAATTCTTGAGGCAATAAGCTCTTCCAGTGACTTCATTCCATGGTTACTTGAAAACATGTTTCAGGTCTTTTTTGAAGGAACACTGAAACACCTAAAAAAAACGAGGCTATGGTGTGGTGATGTGCAGTTTCAACCGGCGAACTCAAACATCAAGTCGAAAATTTGCAGAAACCAACGCGAACAACTTTATTTTGCTGAAAGCAAGCAACAGGTGCCACGGCCGCCATCACGAGTCTCGCCGTCACCTATGATTGGTCGAAGCACCATGACATCACGCGCTGGACGAAAGGACGGCTGACTGCGCTCGCCGGCAGGCGATGCCGGATTTATTTATGGAAATCGGATATGTTGATGTTAGTCTGGCAAACTGTGAAAGTCGTAACGAGTTCGCTGTACATCTGTATATGATTGAGCCGGTCGCCACTGTGTAAGAGCGATGACCGAAGATAATATCAGCGCCGAGGATGCGGCGCACGAAAGCGAGTCCCAATCAGCCACCTTCACCCGCGTCAGAAACATAGACTGTCACGTATTGTACATGTAAGGGCTTGATTTCACTGTAATAAACTGATACAAATAATTCCACCTTAGATACTAAATCCGATAAGGAACAGTAGAGCGTGGGCACTCACTTTTAGCCGCGTACCAGAAGGGTCCACGCTACGCACGGGCATTGTGCCGAAACATGAGCCATTTGTGGATTTCACTGCTCAGAGTGCAGCGTTGTCGATGCCGTCAGTATACCACCCTTCACAGCGTGCAAGAAGCATGCGATGAGTCAGTGTGCTACCACGAGACAAAAAAAAACACGACCTGTGCACTCCGTAGAAATGCTTCACCAGCGAGAGCTGTAACGTGTGGTCTTGATGTTTAGCAGTAGGCTCAATTTGACGTAGCGTTGAAGCCTGCCAAAAAAAATTGGTTACGTGTTCGTGCTTCTTAATGATATAGGTTATTGACACGCGAGACTTAGGCTTACCAGAGTGTTCATTTTATATGCCCCACAATGTGCCTCACATGTTCATTACCATGAAGGAGTGTAATGAGTGGTTAACTGCGTTTCGCAATACGTTAGTTACAGGGGTTGTTCTCGGACCATAGGTGGTCGCAGGCGCCGCAACCGAAGCCAATGTGACATTGGAGACACTCCCGCCGAAAGCGGGTGGTATGAAAATCTATGGCACTGTCACTGATCTTCTAGAGTCGTACGTGGCACACCTTTGGATGTGGAGCTTTCGGGAAGAACTGATGCGTGCTTGGTGCCAAGACTGCGACAGAATGGATGACGCCACTCCCGATGCAGCAAATGGCGCGCGTGCTTCGCCACAACGCTGCAAACGATGCGGACTGCTCGTGACACCACAGCCGGACGGTTTTTCGTTTCTCTTAGCGATATACAGCTTTCGCTGTAAATAGTCGCACCAAGTTGTGCACTTTGCCGCAGTGGTGACATGTGCTCGGAACTGAGCTGCAAGCTTGCCCACGGATATTTTGGCTAAAATACAGCTTTTTTGTTTGCAATACCTTTGCTTTTTTTTCTAAATTCTGGCCAGCGCTACAGCAGTGGTGCGTTGAAAGCATGCGACTGCCGTGCAGGGTGCCCTATTTCTATGCTGCGTGCTGATATCTGTGTATACACGTGTTTCACAATAGGTGCTTCCGTAAGCACAGCGTTCAAATGAGGACAGAAGAGAATACATGCATAACAAGACGAGCCTGAACATTCATGCTGGGATATTATTTTGCTCTCCCACCTTTCTTTCTTTTTTCTGTGCAGTTTGATAAAGATGCCATCACCTTCATTTTAATGTACTGATATGTAGCACGTCTGTATAAAAATCTCAGTATTACTGCCATGACAAGCTATAATTCAGCACAGTGCAGATTGTAAGCAGCAGAATAATGTTGTACAGGCCTAGCTCCTGAAGAAGAAAGCTATAGGGGCATAAACACTTTAGGTGCCAGTGGTTCGTCCGCTTACAATATGCGCATTAGGAAGTATTCATCTTTATCAAATATGATAGGCATCAAATAATTGAAATCAAGAAAGTCTTTATTTTGACCAAACGCTGCTATACGCGGACAGCTTGGACTTCGATTTTGCTTCATGTGGTGGCAATCGGCAGTGATCGGATGTTATGGAAGCGTTTAAATGTTGTATTGATCATCGTATGAGGGATTTTCGCATCAATGCATCGATGACTCTGGATTTTGACCGAACATATTATTGAGCTGGAATCGAAATGAAGGCTCCGTGTTGCATGGTGCCGTTGGTTGGCGATGAAGGGCTCTGGTAAATATTCTTTGAAGGTGCGATCTTGAGCTGTCACTGCAAAAGGGAAATCGTTCCCTTTCGTTCGTTGCTCGTTCTGGGACCTACTGGGTTCCAGAACGAGCAAAAAAAAAGCTTTGATGAACTGTGTCTGCGTAACAGCTCGCGTTCCACGTGGTCCATCCAGATTTGAAGTGAGCTTCGCTATAGCGAAGCAGCACCGTGAGCTGATCACGGCTGCTGTTAGCGCGTGCTCACCAACTAACTACGCCAGGGTGTCTAGCAACCGGGAAAACCGGGAAAACCGGGAATTGTCAGGGAAATGATACACGCCGGGAAAAATCAGGGAATCGTCAGGCAATGTTGCCAAAAAAAAACCAGTCAGGGAAAATGACTCGCGACTTGTTCCCCGGCGCGGAGCGTGCACTCAGCTCATCGTAATTGGCGCAAACAGCCAACGGGGACAGATCCAATCCAAGCCAGTGGGGCAGTAGTGCCAAGGTTGACAAGTTTGGCCTTTTTTCTCCGTGGCCTGGCAACCTTGAGCAGTGCGCGCTGGGCATGCTGGGTATACATTTTTGTTGTTTTTGACCACCTTTTCTGCCCACCATGTTTTGAACGACGGAACCTTCCCGTGGCAGTGTTTTCATCTTTTTTTTTCTGAAGAGAAGCCTTCTCACTGACGATGTCGGCGGCGAGAAAGTGCTCCTTTAATTCGGACTGGATGAACCCGAACGTTTCGGATATGCAAGCTGGATTAAGCCCGTGCAGAATGATCCTCACAGTGCTCATTGCACACTGTGCTGCAAAACGTTTTCTTTAAGCAACATGGGAGGAACTGCAGTTTCCAGTCACGCGTCCAGCAAGAAGCATCTTGCTGGTTTGAAGTGTCGGTCGAACGCCTCGCTAACTGGTATGTTGTCCTTTTTTACGCCAGCGACGAACGCTTCGGCCAAATGTAGCGAAGA